CTGTCCAAGACGTGCAACCCTCCAGTATGCTGCTGCATGCGACTTATTTACACTTACTTGCACAGCAGCAGCCAGTGGCTTAATCAGGTAGGGGGTGATAAGCCCGAAATAGTGAAGAGGCATATGCTGAGGGAAAAGGGGCGAGGGGCAGAGAGGGAGAGGAGAGGTATATGATTGTGGGATGGAGCGGAATTATATGCCCTGCCTCTCACTAACAGTGCCCCTCACTCTTGACCCGCAGCACCCTTCTCTCCCTAGCCCTGCAGGTACCGCCCCAACTGGCACGCACGCGCACACACGCTCTGCGCGGCAGAGCAACGCTACTGGCGAAGAAAAGGTTAAAAGAACAGGCAGGCCCTTCCCGACGTCACTCCCTTCCTTCCCTTCACCGATAATGGAGGGCAGATTCCATTGGCCGCCGGGCTCCGCGCCCGCGCGACACATCCGGCGTTGGGAAGGGAAGGGCGGTTGCCCAGGCGATGGGAGTGGTCTTGCGCGCGCGCGAGCCGCTTCCCACCCGGAAATGGGGGCCAGTCGCGTGCGATGGGAGCTGGCAAGTACGAAACGGCGTCCCTCCCCCTCCACCAACCGCTCCCTTCCCCCTCCAGCGGGGCCGTTCGGTTCGGCGCGGCTGCCGGGTAGACTGAACTACTTGGCAGCGCTCGCGGGGGTGTGGGTGGACTCGTCCGCGGGGGGCACAGGAATAACCCATTCCCGCCTGTGAGCGGGGCCCTCGTGCTAGGGGGGCTCCAGGGTTCCCTTCTTGCAGCCCCTGCCTCAGCCCTGTCCAAAGTGCCCCGAGACCTGTCCCCTGACTGCTCCACGGGGGCAGGGCATCAATGCAGGGGGGGTGCAAATTGCACCGCTGCAAATGTGCCCTGGGGTAGGGCAGGAAATCGCCTTCCTTCGAGGCTGCTTCAGGCAGGCCTGTTGGCTGGTTTGGAGGGCACCCAGCAAGGAAAACGATGGGCACGTCTACACCTGCTTGCGGGGAGTGGGGGTTGGTGCTTTAACAAGAGCTGCTCTAATTAAAGCACCACCACGTCTCGGGTGTTGGTGTCTACATGGCAGTGGGGGTGCTTGAACTCAAGCTCATTGAACCAGTTTTCTTGGGAGTGCCCCTGCTGCGGTTTCAGAGCGCAGGGAGACACAGCGGTGCTTTGACAACATCCCTGCACTTGAGAATGGCGACGAGGGCACTTGAGCTGAAGTTTGTGCAATGAGCTTGAGTTCAACCACCCCTGCTGCTGTTTGAAAGCGTGGGGATGCCAGTGCATGAGATTTGGCAGGCTGCTGGAGCACCGCAATTGCCACGCTCCAAACAAGATGGGGACAAATAATAATAAAGAAGAAAGGGATAGGAATGCTAGTCCAAGCTTAGTAACGAGAGTGCCAAAAGGAGACACCGAACAGAGCACGCTGGGCAGCACCCACAGGCTCTCGAACGAGTCCAAGGAGTCAGTGGATACTTCCCAGTTTAGTTCTGCCTGTAGATGTAAGTGAATGAGGGACAGAAAGCTGACCCCAAAGTCCGTGGGGGGGCCGTCTTTCTGTTCAGGGCCTCCTTCCCAGTCAGATGGATTGTGAACTTGGCTAGGGCCAGGAGGAGGTTGACCAGGATATCTTGGGGCTTGGTGGGACCGTGGATGGGGGAGCATGTAAATGAAAACATGTAGAGAAAAATGCAGCCAGAGTTTCTTCAGGCAGCAGTCAAGGACCTCAGGAGGTCCCTGCCAGCCTGGCTGCTCTGAGCTCTGTGACTTTCATCTTCCTTCACTTTGGAGAGTTGAGAAAAAACACTTCCTGTGCCACGACAGGGTGCAGGGGTTAGACCAGGTGACCCTCAACAACCCTCAACTGGTTTTGTTTAGATGTCTCATATTGTAGTCATAGATGGTTTCACTGTAGAAAGTATGACTGTTGTCTTGCCAAGGCATCTTCAAATATAGATTTGTTTGTCGGGGGAGGTTGTTTTGTGTTTTGTTTTGTGCTTTGTTTTATTTTATGGGAAACTCCCTTCAGAGTTAATGAATAATATGAACACTGATTACATGCCTGGAACCTCTGGTCTAAGTATATGGTCTAGAAACTTGGCAACTCCCCAGGTTGTGTTCTTTTATTTATTTTTCCCCTTCTAAATAGGGAGTTTGCCCTTGTTACAGAGTCTGATGCTCTTTGGGAAATACTGTGTGGCTATGAGAGTGCTTCGCAGAATGAGAATGTTTCATATGGTTATGCAGCTTTCATGGCAAAGCAGTGAAGTTCACTGGTGACTAGCTGATCCATCAGCTGTGGATTATCCCCCATTCTCTATTCCAGTGTTGTGGTGTCTTTCTAGAATAGTTGCAGCAGGGGATCTAGTCTTCTGCCTTCTTCCTGATACTTCTTTTGGTTGGTTGGTTGTTTTTAATCTCCTTGGTTTAGGGTTTGTGGATTGAGGGGAGGGAATTGCAGTGAGCCTCAGAAATGAGAGTACTTCCCTCACCCAACAAACGTTATATTTTACTTGCTATATTTTTATTGAAAATACATGTCAAGGCCTGGATGTGGCTAGGGAAGCTGGCGCATTCTACTGTACTTGTAACTGAACAAACATTTTTACTTTGTGTGGAACTTCTCAAAAGCTAGTGCCAACCTCGAAGAAATAAATGGTTATGATGCTGTATCATGAATGTCCTGGTGGAAATAACAGTCTTGAACTGTATGCTATTTTATTTGAGATCGTAATTATTTCCTTTTTTCTCCTTTCAGATTTGAGCCTGCTTCTTACCTATATACTATGAAAAGCTACTGGAACGACTGACTGTTAAAGTTGTTCCAAGTATGGCTTGCAGAAGAATAGGAGATCAGGAGCAGTCTCTTGCTACTGCTTTCTCTGTTGTTAACTGTGGGAGACCCCCAGCATGGGGCATTCGAACGCACAGTATATGCATGGTATCTGACTTTTTTTATCCAAACATGGGAGGAGTGGAAAGTCACATCTACCAACTGTCACAGTGCCTGATTGAAAGAGGGCACAAAGTTATAATTGTCACTCATGCGTATGGAAGTCGAAAAGGCATTCGTTATCTCACCAATGGTCTGAAGGTCTATTACTTACCTTTGAAGGTCATGTACAATCAATCTACTGCAACAACACTCTTCCACAGTCTGCCTTTGCTCAGGTACATCTTTGTGCGAGAGAGAGTCACCATAATCCACTCTCATAGTTCATTTTCTGCCATGGCTCATGATGCACTCTTTCACGCCAAGACAATGGGCTTACGGACAGTTTTTACAGACCATTCTCTCTTTGGATTTGCTGATGTCAGTTCAATACTTACAAACAAACTCCTAACGGTGTCACTGTGCGATACAAATCACATCATTTGTGTCTCTTACACTAGCAAGGAAAATACTGTACTAAGAGCAGCACTGGATCCTGAGATCGTGTCTGTCATCCCCAACGCTGTAGACCCTACTGACTTAACTCCAGACCCGTCCAGAAGGGATAATAGCACAACAACTATTGTTGTTGTCAGCAGGCTTGTTTACAGGAAAGGTAATGAGGTCCAACCTGTAAGTCACATTTCAGAGTATTTTTTTTTTCCCCTTTTAGTGTGTGGTAAGAAATGTTCTGTGGTGAATATAGAATGATGTGTCCTCAATTGAGAATGGAGTTGAATTTGAAATGGCTGGTTTTTTGTTCCTTTCCCCACCCCCTACTCTCATGAATTGAGTACAGAGAACTGATCATAAGGGATAATTTCCTGTTGATTTCATTTGAGCACTGGGCATGGAAATTGGCTCTATGTGGTCAGTTCTTGTCAGTCACGTGGCATCTTTGAAGTCATTGGTAACTTATTCATCAGCTTGCTCAATTTGGAGCTTAAAAGACATTAGTGGTGGGTTCTTCGAGGTAGGAGAATAGATTCACGTGCCTCCATAGGCCACTTGCTGGCCTTCGGACAGTAGGAGACTTCTGTTGGAAATGTCACATATAGTGTTTCTGGGCCACACCTACAGTCGTTATTTTCTTTGGTGGCAGTTTGCAGAAAGCACTGTAGCCTCAATTTAATTGTTTTCTTAGTTTTTATTTTTCGTATCGGACAAGAATCAAGTGTTTCATATAGACAAAAGAAATCCTGCAGTTTATTGATGTTTATATTTCTTGACCTGAGACTCACTTTAGTCCTTCACTAAAGGGATTCTCTCAAAATGATTAGAAAAGTTCCTCCTTATAATATAAATTAATATTGGATTGTTACACAAAACAGTACTCATTTTTTCACTATGCTGTTAGTTTTACCCTTCTATATTAGTAAGCAATTAAAATTATTTGTTTTTCTAATAGTACCTAGAATCTGTAAAAATGACAAACAGCTCCCCCCCCTTAAACAAACAAAAAGACCCCCCCCACTGTAATATTTGCATGCATTTTATGGGAATGCATTCTCTCTCAAAGAAATTCAGGCTATGTCTGCTGAAAACTGGACAAAAATTATGTGGTTTTGGGTTTTGTAGAAAACTTGCATTTTAGTCAGATTTGTTTAAATTTTGGGTTTTTACAGACTTTACATTGATAGTGTTGGTAGTTTCATAGTTTCTAGGGTCGGAAGGGACCTGAGCAGATCATCTAGTCCGACCCCCTGCCATGGCAGGAAAGAGTACTGGGGTCAAACGACCCCAGCAAGGTGTTCATCTAACCTCCTCTTAAAAACCCCCAGGGTAGGAGCCTGCACCACTTCTCTTGGAAGTTGGTTCCAGACCCTAGCCGCCCTGACCGTGAAGTAGCGCCTCCTGATGTCTAACCTAAACCTACCCTCTGCCAGCTTGTGACCGTTATTCCTGGTCACTCCTGGCAGTGCTCAGGGGAACAGTGACTCCCCCAATGCCTGCTGATCCCCCCTGACTAGTTTATAACAGGCCACAAGATCCCCCCTCAGCCTTCTCTTTTGGAGGCTGAACAGGTTCAGGTCCCGTAGCCTCTCCTCATAGGGCCTGCCCTGCTGTCCCCTGATCATGTGAGTGGCCCTCCTCTGGACCCTCTCCATGCTGTCCACATCCCTCTTGAAGTGCGGCGCCCAGAACTGGACGCAGTACTCCAACTGTGGCCTGACCAGTGCCGCATAGAGGGGGAGGATCACCTCTTTGGACCTGCTCGAGATGCATCTGTGGATGCATGACAAGGTGCGGTTGGCCTTCCTGACTGCCTCCCCACACTGCCGGCCCATGTTCATCTTGGAGTCAATGATGACTCCAAGATCCTTTTCCGCCTCCGTGCTGACAAGAGGGGAGTTCCCCAACCTGTAGGTATGGTGCCGGTTGTTCCTCCCCAGGTGCATCACCTTGCACTTGTCTGTGTTGAATCCCATCCTATTCTCATCCGCCCACCCTTGTAACCTGTCTAGGTCTGATTTTAGCCTGTTGCTTCCTTCTAGTGTGCCCACGTCCCCCCACATCTTAGTGTCATCAGCAAATTTAGTAGTACTGCTACCCAAACTTCAGTTAGCTGTGGGAGGAGGGTGTCTGTCTTAATTACATCTGGGAATGCTCTAACATTTGCATCAGTCCTTGGGTCAGCCCAGAATCAGATGGGTTTGCAAAAGTTGACCCCTTTTACCTTTAGGCTGCACCTCTTCTGGCAAATTGCAGCAAAGTCCTTAGGGAGAGCCAGCACTTCTTGTCCTCAGTACCTGCTCATGATAATTCTTCTGGCCAGAGCTGGTGCAGTTTGGGCTAGTTTTTCCAACATAAATAAGTTGAAACTCGAATAAGAATCTCATTCAGGGACTTCATGAGGGTTATTAATTATGTAAATTGGCCTAATTGGTTTATAGGCCTAAACTTTAATCTTGCACATTTGGGCACTTGAGATTTTGAGGCCTTGTGCAATAATCTTGGGTAAGTTGAAAATGTGTTTACTTAAATTGTGTCATTGTTGTACTTTCAGGTATAGACTTGCTTAGTGGTATAATTCCTGAACTTTGTCAGAAATATCCAGACTTAAATTTTTTAGTTGGAGGAGAAGGACCAAAACGAATTGTTTTGGAAGAAGTACGTGAAAGATACCAACTTCACGACAGGTTTGTTTTATCCATGTTTATGGTGACAAAATGCACTTGAGTAGAAAACAAACAAACAAAATGTGTTCTTTCATCTCAAAGTTCCTTTAACTCCCCACTCTTTTCCCCATGGCAGTTCATCTTGTTTGGAAGAATGAGGGAATGGGGACACCTTTATTCTGTTTGGTTTGGTTTGGTTTGGTTTGAGAGAAATCCTTCAGGATGATCATGCTTCCCGTTTCTGGCTTTATAGTTTTTCCAAAATCAATATCGTGCTACCCATTGATAGCTAGCACCTCCCTGAAATTTTAGAATTGATTAAATGGGCTCAAAAGGTACCCGTTTTATCTGAATAGAGGAACACTGGTAAACGTGGAGTATTAACTTAAAAAATCTTTAGTCTTAAATCTAGACACATGGGAACAGCAATCTGAAGGTACTTGCCAGAAAATCTTTTACTCTTCTGAAAAATAAAACCAAACTATTCAAACTGAATATAGAGGGTTTTTTTAATCAAAGTGCAAAGAACTTGGAATGCGAATGTTTCAGTGCCACTCGGAAAGTAATGGCACGCTTGGTAAGCTGCTTCTATCAGAATATTTGAGTAATGTTATATGGCATTTATTATTACAAAATATGACACTTTTTTATTCTAATTCTTTGTCCTATATTCAGAGTGCGTCTTCTAGGGGCTTTGGAACATCAGGATGTTAGAAATGTCTTGGTTCAGGGTCACATTTTTCTCAACACTTCTCTCACTGAAGCCTTCTGTATGGCAATTGTGGAAGCAGCCAGCTGTGGTTTACAGGTAAAAGAATCTGAGTTACACAGAGTGCATGTATAAATATAATTTGTTATATTTGAAATTAACAGTTGTAACAATGCATTTTATCTGTGGATCTATAAGCTCTTTATAAAAATGGGTAATTACTACTGGTATTGTGCTGATTTACATCTCATGTGGAAGTGGAGGCAGATACGCTAACTGAATGTGTTCAAGGATATTCCCAACAAAGAGGACAATTCCTAGTTCTCTGAATTAACTAGGTTGGCTCTTGAAAATGTTGTTCTGGGTATACTCTTCTAGCTAGTTGACTCAGGGTAATCACAGTTTTCCCTATGTTCCATTAACAACAGACATTGGGGGAAAATGCTGGGTGAACATGACCTCTTTCAGTAATCTGACAGACTATTTCAACTGAGCCATTGTTCTGCTCATTGTTCTCTGATTGACCCTCACTTGCCACAAAGATGGCTAGGGTTAAGGAAGAAAGAGGAGAGGGAATAAAACACTGCTTTGTTTATTATTTACATAAGGTCACTTGTTTGTCAATTTAACTTGAGCTATGAATCAGTGCTGGTAAAGTGAAGGGTAAATTAACAACCAAGGAGAATTGGGATTAAATCAGGTTAGTGATGGATAACAAATGGGAGTAAGGATATCATAATGAAAATTAACACGTCTAGGGCAGAAGCAAAACATAGGTTTCTTACTGTGATGAAATTTGGGAGCTCAGTTAAGCTAGTCTTCATTCCAGAATATTGAGAAGTGGCATGTGAAATAGCAAGGATCTTCAGCATATCTTTCAATTTAGTATTTTTATCCTGCAAGTCATAAGTAAGTACCTTTTCTGGAAAAGTGATCTGGGTTGCAATTATAGGCTGTTTAGATTTGACTTTAATATGCAGTATCTTAAGACCAAAGGCTAATTAAAAGCATGAAGAGAAACAGAAAATAGAAGTAAACACAATGTTTGTTTTATTCAAGACAAATCGTATTGGACCAAATTAATAGATCTTAGCTGAAGTCAACATAGTGGACCTAGTCAATTTAGAGTTGAAGCAAAGCAAGATATATTTTCCTATGAAGCACAGGAAAATTAGCTAACTGGAGAAGAGGGGCATTAATACTATAATTGTAGGGAGATAAGCTGGATAAAAGAGAACCTATGATGGTGACTGAAAAGGAGATCCTGACGATGGATGGTTTTGTTAAATGGGACTGATCAAACCAGAGGAAGTTTAATGTGCTGTTTCTCAAGAATGGGTTTTGTACTCCATTCTGTGTAATGTTTTCATAGCAAACCTGGCTCAAGAACTTCATGTGCAATTATGACATTTGTGGATGATCCAAAGATAATACAGAAGATGATGGCCTATAGTTAAAAAAAATAAAAAAAAATAAAAAAAAAATAGTGTTGTCAAATATAATATTACAGGTCAGTCAGGTGCTGATTTAATATCAGTAACTTTTTGGTTTAAAGTAGGGATGTATAGGTTATTAGCAACAAAGGGGGGAGAACTTGAATATGCTGTCTGATCATAAGGTGTCCAGTCTGACACACCTGCGGGGAGAAAAAAGATCACACAATTGCTTTAAGATGCAGCTTGATAAGTTTATGGAAGGGGTAGTGTGATAGGGTAGGGGTGTTCTTTGAGTTTAGATATATATTAGTTTCACCACAAAGAGGAAGAAAGTAAACACAGTCTCCATGTGGAAGGTATCTAAACCCATGTCCTTGCTCCCCTTCTTCCCAAAAATGGCTTATTTGGTAAGGAGAGGGATGAATATACTATTTGGCTGTCTGGAGTTTACCTTCAGAAGCACTGAGCATAAGCTACAGCTCTTAAGTGAGAACTTGGCTTGCATGTGCAGGTGCTCTGATGGTACTTAAACCTCTCAGACAGCTGTCTAGTGGTCCTTACTCACAAGTTCACAGTAGAACCATGTACTTGTTTTTGAGTTGGGAAGGGATGTTTCTGCAGCTCAGACTGTCAAGGATGACTCGGGTTTTTACTTCCCTTTGTAACAGTGGCATGGCCTGCTTCTTAGGATAATGTGAATATTTTAACCTAAAAGTTCTCCAGTTGTGGCATTAGCCATACTTTTTATTGAAGGGCACAACTCTAGAATATGGGGATTTTAGTATATAAGGTGTAGCTGTAACTTGTGATTGCCAGGGGTATATGTATTCTGTAGACTTTTTAGGGGTGTAGGTTGTAGCTGTGTTGGTCTAAGGACATAGACAGACAAGGTTATTTGGGTAAATCAGATATCTTTTATTAGACTAGCTCAAATAATTGGGAAAATTCTTCATGGCAGGCTTTTGGACACAAATAACTACATTCTGAAGGTACTCATTAAATATGGAGAATGTCTATAATGTATAAAAATGCTAGCAGTTAATGATGAATACTGGAGCCCTCTTCCTTTCCAGCTTTCTGTGCAAGTAGATTCTGCCTTATTCCCCCACTTGCTACAAGTGACTATCCATTTGCCATCCTGTCTTGTGGAGAGTTCTGCAACTTTCTTATTGTTGGCTAACACTGTAAATAATAACATACATTATAGGAATCTTCATGCTTTTATTACGTTGCTTTTTAAATGATAGCTTTTATTCAGGTTAAAATTAACATGCCCAAATCTTTAAGAATGTTTATGTAAACATTTGAGTGATCTTAGAGCTCTAAAACATGCGTGGTTAAGAGCTGAGGTAAGAATAGCCATTTCGAAATCAACTTACTGGTTTATTGTTTTCTTGAGGTAGGTGGGTGAGGGTGAGGAGAGAATCCAAGGGTCTGGACCTTTAATGCTTTAAAAGGAAAGGAGGAGCTGCCCTCAGGAATGCACATCTGCTTGATTCTGTAGCAATACAGGCTCACTAAATCACCTTAACTTTGCTCCTGATGAAGCAGGGTAAAAGTTTTTTGCAGTTGTTTTGCTACCTTGTTTTGCTACAGAATCATGCCAATGAAATGGTTTCATTGTAAGAGTTTTTATATCAGTATCCTTTCATATGTATACAACTGGTACATCTGTCTGTATATCCCAAGGGAATTGGGTCCCTGACGTATACCTTTAGGAAAATAAATTTTAATTTTACATGTTGGGGGGAGGAAGGGGAGAAGTGGCTCTGATTTCTGTTCACCCCCATGTCAGTTTCTTTCTTTGTTACCAAAGGGTCAATTCTGAACATGTGCTAATTTGCTGCCCTAGTCGCTTTTCAGAGCTTGGGCCTTCAGCCAGTTCACCTGTCTGAAGACTGTACAGCAATTACTGGAGTGAATCATTTGCTTCGTTTAAAGTATTACTGCTCATCTGTGTTGTCTGTCTTATCAGTATAGCTCTACTTCAGTTGATTGTATTATGCAGCAGGTGTATTATTTAATTGTCTTTGTCTCCAAAGGTGGTGAGTACGAGAGTTGGTGGAATCCCAGAAGTGCTACCAGAAGATCTTATTATCTTATGTGAGCCCTCAGTGAAGTCGCTGTGTGATGGCTTGGAAAAAGCTATGCTGCAGCTGAGATCAGGAACATCATTAGCCCCAGAAATTATTCATAACAAAGTGAAGACATTCTATACCTGGAGGAATGTTGCAGCAAGAACTGAGAAAGTATGTACACTTGTTTTAGTAGTCTCTTAAAATGTGATTTCACTGTGAAATGTACTATACTTGATTCTAAGATGAGCTTCTCCTCCCCCCCCATTTTACATGAAGCAGGGAAGCCTGTCTTGGAATTGTGTATGAAGGAAGGCAGTGGCAGGGTAGGCAGCTGTTGTGGCTCGGGCTCCAGCACTTACCCAGGTCGGGGCCATAGTCACAGCTGCTGCCCCCTTCTCCCCCTGCAGCCTCTTCTCTCCCATCTCTTCCCCACCCAACACTTTTCTCTCCTGCTTTCCTCCAGTCTCTGCTCCCCACTAATCTTATTACTGGACGGCTCCCTCAGAACTTCTCTTGTGTGCTGGCAGGCTACATCCGTGTTTTGGTTTGGGGCACTGAGCACAGCCCCAGCCCCGCCCTGCAGCAGTGGTGCGGTGAGATGCAGCCGTGCTTAGTGACGCTGGCTAGAACTGCAGTGGGGAAGCGGGAAGAGCAGAGGCTACAGAAGGACAGGCCCAGCAGGGAGCAAGCTGCTTGACCTCCACATGCTGCCTGCCCCCCTTGCAGCTGTGGAGAGATGAATTAAAGATAACCCTCCACTAATTAGATTCCAAACATGGAAAACTAACAAATTTATAGATTCCCCCCCCATGTATAGAATTTAATTATTGGGGGGTTGTCTTAGATATGAATAAATGCAGTACCTCTCTACAAATAGGTTTATGTATTATCTGATTGACTTGACTTGCATTGAATATGCTTGGTTTGTTTCCTTCCCCAGTCACTGGCCCTCCAAATACAAAGTACACTTTGTGCCATATCAATCAATAACAGTTTTGATAAGCAAATAATTATATAATTTATATCTATGCAATCCCTTGTTTTCATGAGATTCCACACTTAGAGTTGGCCTAGCAATTGGATTACATACTTCACAAGAAGGCACACGCTGCCACTCTGACTCGGACTAGCAAGGTTAAATATTAGTGACTAAATTAAGATATTAGTTATATCTAAATATAACAGAACATATACAAGCTGTGGTTATGCTGGATAAGAAGTTGCCATAGTTTGAGTCACTTTTGGTGTAGAACCCTATTGTAGGGTGAACACTTTATAATTTTGATGATGATGATAAAATTACCTGTAATAAGTAATACTGTTTACAGCTTGTTGAGGAAGCTTCCAGATAACCCTTAGAAATCAGATTTTCTTTTTTGTTGTTGTTTTTGTGCATCAGCAAGAGTAAATAAATAGAGAATTCCAACAGAGATTAGTCTTATAGAAAGTTTCTCTCTATCTCTCTTAAAAGTGTTCTTCCTTCATAGTGATTTTAATGTCAAAATAATATTACTCATTTGTTTTTTTTTTTTAATGGGTTTACTATGATCAGATAGTGGACACAAATATTGCTATTCCTGTGAAACTGGGGAGTGTATAATAAATAATGGAAGACAAAACTGAAGAACTAAAACTAGGTATACTTTACTTAACTTGGCAGCTTTTAAAGCTAAATTAGATTTAGCTTGTAGTAATGATTATTGCAGGTTTTTCAAGTACATGGCTTTGGTAATTTAGCCTTCTGTTCATGTGTGAAGGTATTTGTTCTGCAGCCCTTCACTGTAGCAAAGCTTTCTCTTTTTGCAATTCTGAATAAAAGGAAGTTATTTTTTAGGCAAATGAGTAATCATTAACTCTTGAGTTTGTTTGTTTATATTTTTTAATCAAAAAGCCATACAATATCCTGTCTCTGCATACAGTGACTGAGTACAAACATAGGTTAGAATTTAAGCTTAGAAGTGTCTCATTTGTATTAAAAAGCAATCTTCTTGTGGCAGATCAGATTTATCTGATTTGTTGGTACGTGTTTAAAATTGTAAGTCTATTTACATAGATAAAAAATGCCTATATTTTTTGACAGTGATAGTTTGAGGCTTCTTTCCAAAAGGAAGAAAACAATTCTAAGGATATAGACTTTCTCACAAAATGTGAGGACATAGAGCTTTGCAAGTAAATATTAAGCTTCTCAGTGTCATGTTGAAGATTACTTGTTACCAGATTTGCCCATCACTTTGGGGTGTGCTCATTTATTATGGATATGTTTCTATGGTCTCTGTAATTCTATCAATGTGTTGTTTGTGTTTCTATACGGAGCTGTATATCTCCCTTCTGCAAGTCCTCACCCCCAATGGAGCTTTCTTGCAGGACTCAGTTTCAGTGGGGCTGGGTTCTTCCAGTCACCAAATCAGTCATACACACACAGATAAACATGACATGCCTGACTCGGCCAGGTTGATCAGTATGGACAGGCTGACACCCTTATATGCCAAGAATCAGTTCATCAGAGCAACAATAAACTGCAGTCAAACGCAAGCACACAGGTAAACAGAATACCTCTGAATCCGGCTGGGTGTTCAGCTGACACCCTTATGGGCCAGCATTCAGTTCATTAGGGCACGTCTGAGCCAAACTGGGTCAATCAGCCTGGGTCAAAAGAAGCGTTGCTGGAGAGCAAGTGGGGAAGGAAAGTGGAGAAGGAAACATACACCCAGTTACTACTAGTATGACTATAAAAGTTATTTATTGCTAAGTATATGAAATATATAATGGTACTGGTAGTAATAGACATGCAAAGGAAAACAAACGCACACAATTACAGTACTACCGTGGGGAAACTT